AACGTAACTCCTTTGGAGAGCACTCAAAACAACCATGCTACAGCAACAGGCATCAGACGTATGTGGGACAAGTCCAATGGTGAGCGGACTGACAGCTTTAAGTCACCCGGATTCCAGAGATCCCCCATGCCTGGGCGTCCAAGACTTCTCGAAGTCCTCCGCAGGTGGTTGAGTTCAGGCCTTCCCCTCGACGCTTCGTTGCGAGCTCGTGTCTTGGTCAGCCAAGCTTGAAACTTGGAGCTTCTTACGACTACTTCGCACGTCATGACATATCATGTCTCCAAGACTTCAACTCAAACACCAGATGCACTTCAAAAACACTGCTACGTCCCCGAGGCTCCTCCTCCTCGAGGACCTCGGAGGGCAACGGGCCATCTGGCTCCAGGGGTCGCTCCAGAAAGACCTCGATAAGGCAGACAACCACGCGGAGTGCTCTGCATCCGATTCGGGGGAGTCGGCTAAGCCTTGTTTTGAAGCAGCGGACATGTGAGATGTGTCGGCACGAATGGCTGGAGTACATGCTGCTCTCTCAAGCCGTTCATGAACGATGGCCCTACTGTAACCCTACTTACAATGACGACCCATGCACCAGCATTCACTACACCTATAACTAACCCGATTCAAACTCTGCACAACAAAGCTTACCCATGATCCAGGCCCACTTACTGCTTGGGAATGCAAGATAAAGACTCCAGGACTGTCAGCCAAAGTGCCGCAGTCCGGGCAAGGCTCAACGGCCCAGGAAGCCAGGAGTCAAAGGGGTTCCTTGCCCGAAGCGTGTCCAGAGCTTCCAAGGAATGAAGGTAAAAATGTCAAGAACAGCAACCATCGCAGTGGTATGGGAATCCGACACGGGGGTGTGCAAAGCGAACCCTCCCCACAGTAGCAGGTCATGCTCAGCACGGAGTTCGAACACGGTGCTGGAGGGCCCCCTCCAGCTTCCGAGGAATCCGCAGCCAGGCCCTCCATGAGCCGAGTCTCAGCAGAATTATGTCCATGCTGAGGCTGACCTGGGAGGTCAAACAAAGACGGGTCAATTTGCCTTTGGTGGAAGTGGCAATTGCAGCAAAAGCAATACTGGTAGCAGCCAATAGCAGGTAATGGCACTCGCACTCGTCCGGGTCGTGGTCGCGGTCGCCCACGCCACCGCCAAGGCCGTCGTCGCCGCGTGTCAGCCAGCCACCGGCGTCGCCTTCACCCTCGTCGCCGTCAGTCGCGGAGAACGCGGCAGTAGAAGATGTGGTGGGGAAGTTCGCGATCAGAGGATGCTCTCACATTTGCAGCAAAGGCGCCCCGCCAAACAAAACCTGCAAGGCCAAAACGCCCGAGTTTACCTTGGACGACGGGGTCTGCTGCGGCCCCAAGAGCCCCAAAGCCCTGAACACTGCAGCCACAGCTTGGCCGTCGTGGGCACGATGGAGCTCTGTGGCCTGTGAACAAGAGCCTCCGTCTCAGAACCCAAGAAACATCCCCAGCACATCCGAGCACTCCGTTTCAAGGCCCTGTCTGTGAAAATTGCACGAAACGCTCATGAAACTCAAACCCCTGGGAGACCGAGTCCAGGGAGCGCAGTGCAGCCGACCAATCCGAACCCAAGCGCAGTGCATGGACATGTGTCGTCCCACAGGTTGCACAAGCTGAATGAGGCAACCGTTCCACCGAGAAGCCGTGAACACGAGGCTGTTTGGTTCGACACCAACACGACCCAATGAGTCCTGCGCGTAGCATACGGAGCGTTGTTGATGAATTTCGCCGCGCCACGAAGCTTTGGCACCTACATCCGTGTACCCGCAAGACATCAATTCTCAAGGCTCAGAACCCGAACCCCGGCATTCCCTCATCATATACCCGTATATGCTCTGTGCTGTCCTGAAGCTGGTCGTCGGAGAACCCGAGCCTTTGCACTCTCAAAGCTGGCTCGCTCTCCAGATTGACTCTCCCTCCTTCCCGGTGTAGCTGTAGCAACTGCTGTCGCCTCAAGTGTCCAGTTGGAACAAGACACTCATCCATCGGCGCGGCAGCACGGTAGACCAAAGTCATGATGAGGTCCATGCGCAATGGAAACACCACGACGCAGTAGCCATCGGCGAGGTAACTATCCTAGGCAAAGAAGAAGTACACAACTACACTCCACAGACGAGTTATGCGCCGCAGCGTTGCCAACCAAGGCTCGAAACGAGCCTGCATGCCATCGTCTGGAGCGACGCCGACCAATAACAGAATGACACGTGCCAACCTTGGTGCCGCGACAAGCTTTACTTTGCCATCATCACAACCAGCAGCAGCAGCCGCAGCAACAGCAGCAGAGGCAGCAGCAGCATCAGCATCATCATCATCATCACCATCATCATTACCATCATAATCATTATCATTCTCATCCAGCTTATCCAGCTTTATCCCAATCCTCAGAACCACCATCCATAGCATCATCAGCAGCAGCAGCAGCAGCATCAACATTGTCAGCGCTGTCATCTCTTCTTCGGCATCACTGCCCCCCGCCAGCATGACCGTCGTCAACAGACGAACACGACATTGGCCGTGGCAGCGGCAGCAGAAGAAGAATCACCGAATCACCCACATCATCATCAACGACCTACTCGAAGCAGGTAGCGTCCAATTCTTGGGTAATCAGGCCACGTTCATAGCCGACCGGCATCGACATCACCAGAACAATGCCCGAGCATTGAAACAAGCACCTGACAAGCAAACAATTAACCCGAAAGCATGCACTGTCGGAAGGTTTTCCCTTCCGCACCGCCCAAGCTAACGTCAGTTTCTGTTAGTCACTGTTAGTCAGAAAGAAGATCTTAAACTTCCGTTCTAGTTGCGGATGGCTAAAGAGGACGGCGTCCACGGCAGAGAACTCCGATGCAGCCATACCTGCATCCACACAATGTTCTTCCTACAGGACTTCCACTCTCTGTTGGTTCGACACGCCCCTGTCGCAGCTCTCGGTCGCATATCTGTGTAGCTGTTCTGCCCCAAGCAAAGCCAACCCCCTCACCTCAACCAGCACGCAAGCCCAACGCCTGCGGGAGGGCCCTGGGACGTCCTGGCAAGGAAGAAGTTGGGCCCGTCGGTGCAAAGGTCCTGAGACCTGGGCGCGGGAATGTGCCGCCCTAAGGGCTTGCGAAGGTCACTGATGCTGGTGATGCTGCTGGTCATGATGATGATGATGATGGTGGTGGTGGTGGTGGTGCTGATGCTGATGCTGATGCTGATGCTGACGCTGACGCTGGCGCTGATGCTGATGATGATGATGATGATGATGGTGCTGACGGCACTCGTGGTGATGATGTGGGTGGAGATTCTGGTGCGGGTGCTGGCTCTGCTGGTTGTGGCGGTGATGATGCTTGTCCTTCTGCCTGCTGTCCTTCTTTGGACATTGCTTGCTGGAGCTTGCTTAAAGCAGGGGTCGGTATCAGCTTTACGTGAACCTTTACGTCTTCTTTGCAAGCGCGGCTCCCTGCCCGGCTTCGCACATTGTCGAAGAGTGAGTCCAACGACCAGCCGAGAGGAATCCTCTCATGGACTTGTGGACGTGAGATCGTTGGGATAGGCTTGGAATCAATGCCACTGGGGCAAGCAGTATGCTTCAGCCTTCGTCAAGCATATGGTTCGAAGAAGTCAGGTTTGAGAGATGAACCTTGAAAGCCATGATGGCTTGAGAAAACTCAGCCCCGAAACCCCAACAAACATGCCCCTGGAACTGATGCCCTCAGCTGAACCGGACTGATCCTCTCTGGAAGGGAAGCGGCAACAGAACATAGCCGGAGAGCGAAGAACCACCGCATGGCTCCGAGGTGGGAAAGGCATCCGACAGTCACGGAACTTACTAGCCTGAGGACTTCAAAACTATGAGGATGTATGTCTTTGGCAAGCTTGGAACTTTTTCGTCTGAGCAGTTTGCGGGATCCATCGTGAAGGCCATTGCAAGATGCGCTGGAGACGACTGAGTCCCAGCCAGTAAGGGCCAGGCATTCATCGGAAAGCCATAAGCCAACACGAAGAAAGCAATCCTCGCAAGCCTTGGATCCCGGTGTTTCCAAGAAAGTTCACAGCTTCCCACCTCTGCACAGTCTCTGCTTGATTGACTGTTCCGACGGAAATAACCTTCCAGGAGTTGCCATCGAAAAAGCAAGACCAAGAGCAAGAATGCTGTTCTTGCTATGCCACGCTACAGCGGACTAGCTCGGCCCCTGGATGACAAGCAGACACACAAGATGTACCTACCAAGTTTGGGCCAAACCGTTCCAACCGAAGCAGACACCATCCTGGGAGACGTCCAGACAGACAGCCCTCTGACACCACACACACCTGTCAAAATGTAAAGACTCACGCCGAAACCCCAAAAACAAGACTGACGGCACCACCCATAACTGCCGTGCAACAGACAGAGAGCAGCTGCTCAGAAATCGACAGCCCATGTCCTAAATTGAGTGGGGTCGCCTGCAAATCAAGAAAACAGAGATACAGTAAGGGAAGACGGTCCTGGATGTTCAGAAATCTGAGAAGAACACCCGAAAACTGCACAAAGGTCCGGGCTCGAAAATGTCTGTTAACACCTTACCCTTCTGCATGGGACGCACCAACGCAGACCAGCTGCAAAGCTCGGCTTTGTCGAAATGCGTGCTGGGCTTCGCGATCTGGGCCCGCGCTTAGCAACCGTAGAAGAAAGCACCTTCTCCGGGGCTCCCACGACCAGCTCGGGCCTCGCAGAAGTTCTCCTGAAGGCTATTGGTGACACAAGAAAACCCTGGCACATAACCAATCCACATGTGTGTTGTCGCTGTCCAGCGGAGCGCTGCTTCGGATGTCATGAACGCCGGCCACCCTCTCGCAGTAGAAACTTTGCAGTCCCTGGCAGGATCAGGCAGGTCTCCGGATGCGATCCGCATTCGACTGCACTGCAAAGAACCCATGAAAGATGCATGAACTCGGATTAACTTTTTAGCAGCTTCGATTTGAGTACGACACCTTTAACTGTCCACCGCACGAGCTCACTCCACGGTCTCAGCTGAAACCATCATCGTGTCAGTGTTCAGCGTGACGTCAATATTGTCGCCGGGCTGGCCTCATGGATACATGAACGCACAACAAAACCTTCTCTCTCGCGTTCTCAGGGATTCTTGTTCGAGGCACAAAGCATGTCTCATGTACAACACTGCCCTAAGCCACGACACCTTCCACGGCCCAATTTCGTCCATGACCCTTGCTCTTCGATCCGGTCGCTGCTTTGGATCCTGGACCACCGGGCTTGAGCACGACGACCTCCTGCAACAAATATGCAGTTGATCTACGCTCCTGCAAAACCGCAAAAATGCTTGAAATTTTGACACGACCAATGCTGGCGCATGACATGACATAATGCACTGGCAACATCCTCACACCCACACCCGACTACCCAAGCAACTACAGCTTCTTGTCCTGTTTGTCGCCACCACCAGGATAAAGACGGATATCCCAACTGGCATTGCCCACAATCTGGAATTCCTCCCTCCTGAGCTCCCCAACCTTGGGAGCATCATCTCTGATGGTAACTTGCTGCCGGAAGACGGAATCTTCTCCAGCCATCGCCTTTTTGTGAATGCTCCATTTCTCCCAGGATCCTACGATGTGGTGCGAATCGGCAACTTTTGAACCTTGCTGATCTGAAGCCGGAAGTGTGCTGCCTTCTCCACCTGCTTCAAGCTGAACATCCGAAGCACGGTCCTTCCGCTTTTTGTCGTCCCACTCTGGCGCAAAACTCACCGACAATCCAGGAGAAAGTGTAACGCCCTCTGCGATGCCCGTCCGGTGGACAAAGACGTCCTCGCCACCCTCTGATGGCGTGATGAAGCCGAAACCTTTCTGATCGTTCCAAAGTTTGACTGTACCTGTTTTTCTGTCCGCAAAAGCGCGGACGGCCCCGAGCCGTGGCAGCACAGCACAAACACGTCCAGGCCGCACTGCTGGGCCCAGTGAGCGCCACAATGGTCGAAGGCTCATACTCCAGATCAGTGACCGGTTGTCACATCCTAAGCTATCCACTACGTGTCCTGCGTTCCCGCTATGCTTCGAAGCAGCAATGGCCACAGCAATAACATGACTCGCGGTCAGAACACAAGAACACATGGAGCAAACCCATCCATCGTTGCCTTCTGGCAAAACGGGGAAGCATGCTGCCTGCCAGTACGCATGCCCAAACTGCAAACTCTCCTTTTCTGCCCCACTGACATGCCGCGGTGGCTTAGTTCCGGGCAAGATTTGATTCAAAGTTTCATCACCGCCAGCCGAACGACCTTGGTGTGAGATGGTGAATCATGGTGCTGTCTCGGGTCTGAAAAAAAGCCCAATTTGCCCGTGTGAGTTCGCAGCGCATGCAGTCCTGTAGACGGGACGAATTCATTCGCAGGAACGTGCTATACGAATGCAGCTGCACAGAACCTGCCTTGAATGTAATTCGACGGTCCATGGCAATGGCCCGGGTCAGCATTGAAGCAGATCCCGGTTCAATGTTTGTGACTGCCATGGCGGCGACCTGAGCCGTGTACTTTCCACTCAGAACATTCGGAACTAGCCTCGTGGGCGGCGGTTGCATATTCAACCAACATGTTTATGTATGCTATTTTCCCCACCTTTTGCCACTGATTTCCATCAGCTGCTTGCTCCCAAACGCTAAAGTCGTTGCCGGCATCTGTTCGTATACGAATCGCGCTGCCACAAAAAAATCCCCAGCTAATGGTGCTTCTCCAGGCTGTAATTACGGTTTCCTTGCGCAGGTCCGCCTAGAATGGCGTAGGAAGAGCGAGCTCGCTGGATCGAGGCTGTGCAGGTAAAGTCCGGGACAAAAAAGTCGCGGCAGGGTCCTTGCAATCACCTGCTTCCGCAACTACCTGCGCTCCTTCAAACCATAGAATCCAATACACAGCAGATCCGAGTAAAGCGTGTCAGTGCTTCTGTTTTTTTTTTTCTTTTTCTTTTTGCTGTCCCCGCGGTCCTTGTGCAGGTCGCCCAAGACCAAGGCCAGACTACGTGGGCTTGTCAAGGCATGCGGCTGGCGAAAGGAGGGGA